AGCTTAAAGTTACTCCCGAGCAAAAGGTTCAACTCAACGATTAAAAGAGGAATAGAATATCAATTCTGGAATTTGGCAAAATTGGAGATGTCATTGACACTTGACCTTGAGAGTGCAATTGACAAGCTTATGCTGGCGGGCTGACTCATTTTTTGCTAAATTAGATGAAATTGGACTACTTAATGCTTGCCAATCAAAGTCACAAGTTTGGTCGAAGGAAATTGGAAATTGAAGAACCGGGGCTTCGATAAAATCGGCAACTAATGGTTCTATTGCCATGGTTAATGAGAATGTGCGTGCATATTGATTTTTGTCCCTAAAACAGGGAGGAAGTAGACTTAGAGGAAACCAGTCCTTAAAATTTTACCCTATATGCTGATGATAATGATGTTTCTTCCTGATGGATTTGTAAGAAAGATGTTTCAGTTGTTAATGCTGATGGCGTTTAATTAACTGAAATTACCGACCTGGTTAATAAAAGCGTTTATTTGGGTTGGTGAGTTACCAACCTCCTCCTCCATGTACATATCAAATTCTTCTATTTTTTCTTGTATACTGCTTCGAATTTCCTAATTGAAATCAACACTTGGCTCAATTAATCCTCTGCTCAAACACTCCATTAGCTATTTTCATATAAAATTGAATTTCATTAAGTGGGATTGAGTTAATCAATAATAACAATATGTTGTATCAGTGCAAGTTCGCGAGCAAACGCTTTGCAGTTGCTTTGTCCCCATCATCAATAAATCAACAACTGTCATCGCGAGGCCTTTTCAATTGATCTTCAGTGCTAATTTTGGAGAGTGGAGTGCACCAACGTTTAGAAGGCTATGGATTAGAGCTCATTAGTTTACATTAACTGCAAATTTTCTAACTCCTAATATCTTCACTTCAAATGAACTTTCATTGCTTATAAATGAAAGAGGTTTTAATACTCATTTCGTAGGTAGTGCGGTCTAGATAAGTCTTCCAAAATGGGCATTATTTAGATAGGGTAAATTAAATGAAAAAATTGTAACGAATACGAAAGGTAAAAATTTAGGCAAAGAGGCATATAATCGTGCTGTAGGGGAGAGGAAAAGACCATCTTGTCAGCGATACCACAGTTCCCTCAGCAAGATAATGGGGGGGGGCATTAGTAATACCATGGCGCTCTAACACCTCATTGGTCCCCTCAGCGTGGTAGAGTGTTTTCTTCCGTTTGGTCCATCTAAATGCCACTCAGTAGAAACGTGGTTTTTAGTTAATAATAAAATGGAAAATTGTGTCCTTGCAAGTAAATAATAGCTTAAAAGAATTATTTTAAGTGGATTTACTAACAAGAAACGTCCTTAAATTCGATGGCCGAATTGAATGCTGAATTAACAACTTTCGCTCACCTAAACTATTTACTGCAAAGTTTAACAGTTACTCCATCTAATCAATTTTTTTTATTGTTTTATAAGTAGACCTGGCCATTGATGTTTTGTTTAGTTCCCCTACTAGTTAGAACTACTCTCACCCCCCCCCCATGTTTGCTTGGTTCCTCCTTCGTAACTTGAAATCCTGATTTACTGGCGCTACAATGTAGACGCATTCATCTGTTTTTATTCTTTGATTTCCTCTTTGAAATTACTGTTGCATGCTTTCGTAGTGCTTTTTGTTATTTGCTTGGATAGTTCACTGCTGGATCTCTGAGGCAATAATTGACTACTTGTCTTGTTTTTTGACCCCCATGTCAAAAGAGCGGTGTGTCGACTGTCACATTTCTTGACGCTTTAACGCCAGGATTACCTTTTAAAAAATGGGGCGTGCAATAGGCTTACCTCCACGTGGTGCAGCCTGGGCAAAGCATACCCCACACGGCAAAAAGTCTACAAGCCGGAAGTTGACTTCTAACTACCATGACCCCACTGTATGTCATATTCGACCACATCCACAGTACTCATCTTATCTTATCTCTGCCTTTGTGTCTTTCGTTCTCTTTCACATCTGTGAATCACTCCTCTGTCCCCCCTCTCAACTTTTTTTGTCACCTTGATGTCCCTTCTTCTCTCTGTGAAGTCTGAAGTCAGCTAAAGGGCTAATGATAACTATCAAAGTGCCTGCTATTTAAAATAAATAAATAGATAAATTTAACCTATCAAAAGTACATAGAGTTATACTGATTATTTAAATAACCACTTATGAATCAAATTATTATCATGATAAACATTAACTGATTAGTATACACGCCATTCGAAACTGATGGTAAAACTGCCACAAAATAGCAAATTTAAAGGTAAGATTTTCACGCAAATCGACTTAAAATACATTTGCCAAAAGTGATTATCCCAAATAAATAACATAATCATATAAGGCACAAAGGAGCATGAGGCAAAGTGACTATCGTCTTAAAATGGGACAGGGAGGGGTTATTCGTATACAGCGTCCAGTGGTACTATTGGCATTGGATGACAACAAAGTCGGTAGTGATGCACTTGAATCATACATAAGCATCGACGAGGATGCCATAGAGGCGTTTGAAGAAGTCATGATTGGATCAAGATGTAGTCCACCAGTAGAATGGTCAAACGGAGCGAATACAAATGGCAACTTTTCATTTGGCCATGGCCAGGTAGCTGCAAGCCATCTCATTAGATCACCATTCGACTCTCCCAGTTTGCGAAAGATACCCTCAGAGTCGCAGACTTCCCCGAACCACAGGGACGAGGCTTTAAGAGTTAACGGACAGGCGAGAAGCCTGAAAGGAGAGAGAACGAAGGTGAAAGTAGAGGTTGTGTTGTCCTCTGAATTAGAGAGACTGTTCCACGCTGATGTGGTCATACAACGTAGCCAAAATTCTGGGAGCCATTCAATGACCTCTGTGAGTGCATCGAGTTCTGTAGTGTTGTTAGAGAGATTGGTGACATCCAAACATTGAAAGGCGAACTGGGAGAAACGCTGACGTAAACAACGGCGCATATAGGAGGAGGCGCTTTGAATATCAGCCAGGAATGGAAAGATTCTGTTAAAGAAATCAATGACAATTGGGTTATTTTTATATTATTATAGCAAATTGACACATTGGATTTATTTTTAAATATACCCTGGGCAAGATCGAAGTTTGGTTGGTTCCTCAGGAAAGATCAGAGTATCGGTGATGGCCAGTAGTAGAATCCTGTGTAATAACAAGATAGTTTATTTTTAAATTTATAAAACAGAGGTTTTTAAGATAGCAGGATCAGTAATGACTATTACGGATTCTTAGCCTGATGAAATACAACACGCGATGCGTAATTAAATCATTATGAAATTATTTATTCTGTATAAGACTGTGAACAATTAATTCACATTAAGACAAATACACCCACCTTTCCAATATCGATTATAAGTCATAATTGCATTGGGTACATTAGAGTTTTCTTTAGCTACTTATGTTACATTAGCCGAACAAGTTTGTGTATTGGAACTTCTACTTTGTCTCTTGTCTCCTATCACATAATTAAGATCAATAAATTCGACGACTGAAATTAGAATTGTGTAAAATTGCCCACTTTTGTACAAGTGTTAGTAGTCCTAACCTAATGATCTGAAAATTTAAGAAATCAAGTCCAATATTCCTATAGGACCGAGGAGAGGCATTAAAATGATTTGGTTAGGCTTCAAAACTTTGAAGTTCTTGTTTTTAACAAGCACCGTTAACAACTATCATTCTGGATCAATTTCTATGGAGACCTTAACCTCGGAATAGGCACACTGAATGACACTTCTGTTTAAGCAGTTACATTAGAGCTAACTGATTAAGTCCAGCAAAGAATCATATGCAAGCAAGTAGATTCAAACAAATTTTAAGTGAATAGTAGCATTATTAAATTTAGAAAAAAACCGTAACGGACTTCCGAGGATGTGTATTGAAGCCAAGTTCGGTGGTGATATTGATGAGGTCTGATAGAAGTGATGGCGGTAGACGAAGAATGATCAAACCCTCTGCAGAAAGTAGAGTGTTCATTAGAACCTGACGAAGTTCATTTACGGCATTTGAAGATGAACGTAAATAGTAGTGGAACGCGGTAGGCTGGGTTGACCAAAATCCGGGAAACCTGATTGTATGGCAATCGATATTTTAATGAAGTCTCATTAATAATTAATAGTTTTAAATAAAAA